TTATATTTAATATAACCACAGTGTGGACGGACACGCCACTGTTTTTAGGCGTTGTCGTTAGCAACAACGACGGTAACCACAGCGTGTGGCTCTGCCGTCCGCTTGTTTATTTTCCACATAAACCACAATAATAAATAATAAACCACAATCACAATAAAGCTGAAGATCCTGTTGAGATTTTGCAAAATAAAGTGAAATGATGACAAACAGAAGGACCAAAACAAATCCAGGACATTATTCCTAAACGAGGGGCTCGCTCTGTAGCAAGAAAGTCTGACACGGGCCAGAAAACTGTACTCTGCAAAACCGGCCCCCACTAAACATGGCAAACCTCTCCTGCCACCTACGCAAGAGTCACATGACAGAGGATGGAGAGAGTTTATGGACGAGAAGCAAAGCTCTACCCACCACATCACCTCTGAAGCAGCTTCACTGGCTCCAGGTCAAATCTCACATTAATTATACATTTAAAGCTATTCATTGTCTCTCCCCACCATCTCTGGTTCAGATCACCATCCCACTCCAGCGCCCCCGATCATCCTCTTCTTTCTTTTTCCTCTTCCTTCCTCTCGTCTTGTTTCTATGGGGGGCTTTTAGCCGCTCTGCCCCCAACTTTGGAATTAAAAAACCTCGGAAACATCAACACCTCATTCCCTCTTTTTAAGTCCAACCTCAAAACCCACCTGTTTAAAACTGCCTGTTTTATTTGCTGTGCAGCGTCCTTGAAAGGTGCTTTTAAATAAGCATCCTGAATGTTCATTGTGTTCATCTGTGTTTCCAGTGGGCACCACTGAACTGTTCAGTGCTCCCTCACTGCTGCTGGTTTGGGTCATTGTGCAAATGTCCTGTTTATAAGGTTGGAAACCTGCAGTCGGCTGAGACTGAAGGATGATATTGAAATGTTTCTAACAAGTAACAGTTGTAGTGATGTGCACCAGCAAAATGTCACCAGCAGATGAACTGCACGTAAAAGTGCTGCAGCACGATCACAGGAGAAACACTCGCAGCTTCTTTGTGGGCGTGGCTGCTGAGCTCTGTGCAGGCTGTTGGATTTATGCACGAGGAATTATTTGCTCAGATTACATTTCTTCTTTTTCTTCTTATGATATAAAGATCATTCCATATTCAAAGTGCAGCTCATTGAAACTGGACCAGCTGCAGTTACCATGGTGACAGGTAAACACACCTCTGTGACCCTGCAAACATACCTCACGTCCTCTTTGTCCTCAGGTTTTGGTGCCCTCCTCCATGGAAGCATGTCTGCCATGGTTCCCATTAAGGATGCTGCAGAGGAGAAACCAGGAGTGAGTCTCAGTCTTTCTACATCAGACACACAAACCAGGTGATCATGTGACTCTTTCCTCTCAGCTGTGGTTTAGTCTGAGTAGTGGGAACACTGGAACAGCCTTTACTAGTGATGAAAACGACCACATACATGAACTCCATAGATTTGGCTTCCTACAGTTAAACGACTATGACTGAGTGATATCTAAAATGCAAACCAAGCATTCCCTGAATCAGCACCTGGTCACCTGTCAGTACAGGCCAATCACAGCTCTCCATGAGCCGCTCAGCTGTGAGTTCAACACTAGGTTAAGGACATGTATCCAGTGTTATTTGAATGTACTCTGCACCCACACATTTATACTGTAGTTATCTTATTGTGCTCAGTGTTATGTAGTCCAAAGGTTTTATTCATATCCATCATGTAGATAAAACTACCACACTTAGCTTCTATATTTGGCTTGTAAGAGATCCTGGT